TTCCTGAAGGACACACTACACCTATATTGGTTCTCTCACACAAGAAATTTGGTGGTTTATGTCTGACCGTACACGATTGTTCTTGCAGCGATGATTCCATTAATTTTGGCTGGCTAGGATTATCATAACATGAACAGAAGAGTAAACATCTGGCTGGGTTACCGGTGCTTGATTTTGGAGCCTCAATAACAGAAGTACTACTTCTCCTCTGTGCAATGCTATGTCCAAGCACAGGACTGGAAAGGCAGTGAACAGATTCTTGAACTTTATCATAGCAGGAGGAAGTTTCTGACCTGAGGGGCTCTTGCACAAGTGCAGGAACAATAATATATGGCTACAACAAAAAGCAAGCAAACAAACGCACACACACCAAAACCAAAAAATAACTGTCAGACAAACATGCTCATGAGTTTAATTCTAGTAAGGGCAAAGCTATTAAACCAATGAAATCAAATAAAATGGGCCTCCATTTATTTCATGATACTGTAGGAAGTGCTATAGCTAACGCTAAAACCATTTCCTTGATCAAAGTAATCACACTTAGAAATACCCTATCTTCTTATAGCAAAATGAAGGAGACATTTCTAAGTCAAACTGGGAATACATGAACAAAAACAATCAGCATAAATCAGTATAAAAAGCAGGGGGGGAGGGGGGAGATAGAGCAAGTTGTTAAATAATTATATTTAATATCATAGTAAGTTACTTACTCCTGAAGGCTGCTGGTAGTGCCCTAGTTGCTGAAGACTATGAGGCAAAGCCTGGCTCTCACTTAGAGGTGGACTGTAAACCCGTTGAATAGCAGGAGGTATTGAATCAGGCATAGATGAATAGATGACACTTTGCTGGCTGCTCTGGGAGTCTGAATAAACAGTGGACCCCTGACCACTGTCAAATGTGCTGTCAGCTGAAAGAAAAATATTTTATATTAAGAGCTTAAGAAAGCAAACAAAATATTTAACAGATTTAACAATGAGGTCAATGTGTGCTTTGACCATTTCCACTAGATAAAAAAGTTATACAACACAAATGTTATTTTCCATGAATGGCACATCCTCCTCCCTGTAAGCTAAAAAACAAGCATCTCCTATAAAGCTAGACATAAACATTTCCTTTAATGAGACAAAGCACTAACACTAAGAACTGTAAGTGTTCTATGAATCTTGTAGGATGAAAAAAAAAAAAAATATATATATATATACACACACATATATATACACACATACATACACACACACTGCAGTCTATTGCGATTTCCATAGCAAAGAAGAGACCTCAGTGCCTTGCAGTACTACTGCCTTTAAAGAGTTGCTGGTTTCAACACCCTTTTGATTATTGGTGGTGCAAATTTCCATTTAAATAAATTATGGAATATATTATGCTGTACAACTTGCTTAGCCAATATAAAGTTTATAAATCGGCCTCATTGCATACTATTACCTCAACTAAGGAATACTGACAAGAGAAAACAAGAAAGATCAGAAGTAAAATGTACAAATGGAAACAAAACAATAGGAAAAACAAACTCTGGCTTTTTGCTGCAGCATGGGAAGTCCCATAGCACTATTCAGCACTATGCCCAAAAATCATGGAGCCAAAGAGTTTAAGATTTCACTTGTCCTACCATTTCAGGTCTCAATTGCCGCACATGCAAAGTAAATAAGAGAAGAACAGATTCATTGAAATTACAACTCGGGTCTAAACAACATTAATACATCCTGATCTTTCCTGATTTTGTCCTTTACAAGTAGAAAGCCTTAGCATATCTGGATTCAATATCAACATAACTGGATGAAAAAACTGCTTTATATAAGCAGCCATCTCAATTTAAGTTTTTAATGATTAGGATCACAATTCACAGCTTCGTCAATGCTTACAATACAAGGAGTTATCCTGACTAATCTGAAAAATTGCACAATTGAGAACTGGGCAAGAGTGGAACTTTTGTCAAATGGAAATAAGGCTTATGATGGTTTTGTTGACTATTAGAGGCCTTTTCAAGTTTATTAAAACTTGTACAACATACCTGCACAGTTAACTAGATTCTTTTGCTAAAGCTATATGTATACTTGAAAGAACCAAGATGGTAGCCATTCTTCCCATGGAGTTTAAAAAAAAAACCAATGACTGTGACAGCAGGGAAGAGTTGTAAAGGTAGCTGATCTACACCACTGTTGTTTTTTTTTTTTTTTTTTTTTTTTAAAGGGTTTTAATTTGAAGACATCCAACTGCTACTATTTTGCCTCAAACCGTCCATCTTCCCAATTCCTCTACCACCTAAATAGGGCTCTATTTGAGTTTGAATAAAAGGCAACTAAGGTCTCAAGCCCTCTCCATTTTTAGAAACTCATCTCCTAACCAGTTTTGAAAAGCTAATCCCATTTCTCTGCACACATGCATCTCCAGTTTAAAATAATCAAACTCTACCTAAGAAAACAATATTATGATTTTTATAGCATACAGCATTTCAACTCATTATAAACAATTATTCAAAGATCTCAAATAAAGCTAGAAAATAAACGATCATCAATAAAGCAGAGTCTGAGTCAAATGTGGATATTTATGGCACACCATGTTGTATACAAATATTAAATTATTTTTTCATTCTCTCCCTATATAGCACATGAGATAAATAGGGAAGTAACTTATTGAGCTTTTAGTCGTCTCAACACCAACAAACAAGTTTCCAAGGATATGGGACACTGAATTATCAAACTACAATAGGAATACATCACAATAGTGGACCAGAAACAAATTCCAGACTTAATACATACCTGTGCTTAGAATGCTGCCAGCCCACTGGCCAGAGCAATTAATTTAATTTAGCTATAATTAAAAAAAATAAATAAATAAATAATATCTAATATAGTATTTTATGAAAGGCTTCTCAAAGGAGTAAGCTTATATGAATTCAGTATGTGGGCAGAAAAAAATGTAAGATAAGCCCTGTATTTATAAAACCTTTGAAAATACTGTAACATTCTGAAAGTTATATACAAGTTAAAATATGTTATTATGTAGAAGTCAGTTATTTTGTGCAGAAGCCACTATAATTATTTTTTTGTTTAAGGTTACAAACAAACTCAAATATAATGAAAAAACATTGTGTAAGGTACCTGAGTTAAGGAATAAACAGGGTCTGTGTTTTGAATTTTTAGAAGCAGGTTAACCAAGTAAAACTCATTACAAGGGCATTCCCCCAAACTTAACAGCTTCCAGGGTAGGACAGAACCTTAGAAAATTAGGGTTAGAAGGGACCTCAGGAGGTCATCTAATCCAACCCCTGCTCAAAACAGGACCAGCCCAAACTATATATCCACAGCCAAGGCTGTCAAGCCTGGTCTTAAAAACCTTCAGTGATAGAGATTCTACCACCTCTCTGGGTAACCTGTTCCAGTGCTTTACTAGCTTCCTCATGAAGGGTTTTTCCTAATATCTAACCTAAACCTCCCTTGCTGCAACTTGAGACCATTGTTCCATGTGCCATCTACCACCACTGAGAAGAGTTTAGCTCCATCCTCTTTTGACCCCCCCTTCAGGTAGTTGAAGGCTGCTATTTAATCCCCTCTCAGTTTCCCCTTCTCTAGACTAAATAAGCCCAGTTCCCTCAGCCTCTCCTCAAAAGTCATGTGCCTCAGCCCCCTAACCATTTTAGTTGCCCTCCACTGGACACTCTCCAACTTGTCCCCATCCTTTCAAGGCAGGACAGAACTAGACACAGTACTCCAGATATGGCTTTGCCAGTGCCAGATAGAGAGGAATAATCACTTCCCTTGATCTGCTGGCAGTGCTCCTACTAATGCAGCCCAGTATGCCATTAGCTTTCTTTGCAACAAGGGCACATTGTTGGCTCATATTCATCTTATTGTCCACGGACTCCCTGGTCCTTTTCTATGCAGAGCTGCTGCATAGCCAGTCGGTCCCCAGCCTATATCAGTGCATGGGATTGTTCCTTCCTCAGTGCAGGACTTTGCAATTCTCCTTATTGAACCTCATGGTATTTCCTTTGGCCCAATCTTCCAATTTGTCTAGGTCATTCAGAATCCTAGCCCTTCCCTCCAGCATATCTACTAGGGCTGTGTGAAATTTCACCAGCAGTTTCATTTCAACACTGTTTCAATTAATTTTGAGCTTGAAACAGCGAAATCGAAACAAAACAGAGAGCTTTGAAACAGCCTCAAAACAAAACGAGGCAAGTCGAAACGTTTTGAAATTTTTGAAACGTTTCGAGTTTTGAAGCTCAAGCTGGGCTTGCCTGCAGGCAAACAGAAACTTAAGTAAGGAGAGGGAGGGGGAAGGAGTGCTCTCATTATTGACTGTGTAGCTGGACAGTGACTGTCATCCTTCCCTGAGGTCTCTTCCAATCCCAGTGCTCTGGGGGAGGGATGGAAAAACTGTGTAAAAGGCAGCACTGTTTGAACTGCCCTGCTTTCTGCCTTGGTGTCAGTTACTGAGCGGTGTGTTCCAGGTTTGCCTGTCAGCAGCTAGGGGTGCAGGGCCCCAGAACCCAGACTCCCCTTGTACCCATCTCCTTGACAGCTGGCAGACTTTGTGGCTGCAGCTGGGGCTACGAGGCCTGCAGTTTTCACCCCCCTATGCCCTAAGACAGACACAGTCAGTTGCACAAGCACCCATGCCACAAGTTTTGCCTGTCAGCCGCCAGAGGTGCAGGGCCCCAGAACCCAGAAGCCCCTGCACTTATCTCCTTGACAGCTGACAGGCTTCATGGCCTCAGCAGGGGCTAGCATGCCTACAGCTTTCACCCTGCTGCACCTTAACACACACACGCACACAACACACACACACTGTCACCCATGTCATGAGTTTTGCTTGTCCACAGCTTGAGGTGCAGTTTCCCCGAAACCCCTCCATCTAGTTCCTTAAAATTTGGCAGGCTTCATGCCCTCAGAAGGGGCTACCATTCCTGTAAGTTTCATCCAAATCAGGCCAGAAATTACAAAGTTATAGGCTGTTTTGAGCTTCCCCATTATAGCCTATGGGTGAAATGTTGAAACAGCAAAACTGTTTCGACAAAATGAAATAGAACAGTGGTTTTGAATCAAAATTCGAAATGAAACACTGTTTCATCGAAACGCAAGTTGAAACAGAATGGTTCTGTTTTGCACAGCCCTAATACCTACTACTCCTCTTAGCTTGGTGTCATTTGCAAACTTCCTGAGGGTGCGTTTTATGCCATCTTCCAGTTCATTGATGAAAATACTGAACAAACCAGCCCCAGGACCAACCCCTGGGGCACTCCATTTGATACTGGCTGCCAGCTAGACAGAGTCATTCACAGATTCCCAGAAGTTTAGGGCTGGAAGGGACCTCTCATGAGATCATCAGGTCCAGCCCCACTGCTCTAGTTAAATAACCCCAGCAAGGTGTGCATCCAGTATCCTTTTTGATGATCTCCAGTGTAGGTGCCTGCACCACCCCTGCTGGGAGTCTTTTCCAGAGTCTGGTTACATGATCATGAAGAAGTTTTTCCTTATATCTTGTTTAAAACCTTCTTTTAGGAGTTTATGACCATTGCTCTTAGTTTTCCCCTGGGGCACTTTAGGGAATAGTTGTTCGCCTAGCCCCTGATCGATTGATTACTATCCTCTCAGCATGACGATCCAGCCAGTTTTCTATCTAACTTAGTCCAGTCATCCAACCTGTACTTCTTTAGCTTGCTTGCAAGAATGTTGTGGGAGACTGTATCAAAAGCCTTGCTAAAATCAAGGTATAACATGCCCACTGCTCTTCCCACATCCACAGAGCCAGTCATCTCATCATAGAAGGCAATCAGGTTGGTCAGGCATGACTTACCCTAAGTGAATCCATGCTGACTGCTCCTAGGTCACCTCCTCCTCCAAGTGCTTAGAAATAGATTCCTTGAGGACCTGCCCCATGATCTTACCAGGGACTGAAGCGAGGCTGACTAGTTTGTTGTTCCCTGGATCCTCCTTCTTCCCATTCTTAAAGATGGGCACTATATTTGCCCATTTCTAATCCTCCCCCAGTCGCTGCAAGTTTTCAAATAATAATGGCCAGCAGCTTTGCAGTCACATCAGCTAACTCCCTTAGTACCTTCAGGTGCATCACATCTTTCCACACACTTGTCCACATCCAGCTTTTCTAAATAATCCCTGACATGTTCTTTTGCCACTGTTGGATGCTCACCTGCTCCCCAAACTGTGCTGCCAGGTGCAATAGTCTGGAAGCTGACCTTGTCTGTGAAGGTTTTTTGTTTGATGTTGTTTGTTTATTTTTAACACTTAGCATGCAATGACAAATGAATACATACATCAGGAATTCTGTCATATAGCAGAATTGGTCTTGCTGACGGAAGCTGCTCAACCCAGAAGGTTTTAATCATTATTTTTGATGGGCAGGAAATGCCATTTTTTCCTGAATCACTAAAGAGAAATATGAAGCTCAGAAATAGAAAGACAACTCCCTTGGTTCTGCAATTGAGACTGTGTAGTTCCTCATTCAGACAACCAAAAGTGGTTAAACTTCAATTCACTTTTAAATGCCCCATTCCACAAGATTACCTACATCACCCTGAATAATCATTCGGTCCTCTTCTGCACTAGCAGCACTTAAGTGTCAGTCATAAACTTCATCGGCGCGTCCACACATGCAAGCACACGCAGCAGCTCAAATAGAAGCGGTGCAAATTTGAACCGAGGCTTTTTGCCGCTGCACACATGCTTGGACATGAACTTCATTGTGAAGCAAATTGTGCCACCTGGGGCAAAATAACCCTGCCTGGCTCCTCCCAGATCTGCATCCAGGGGTAGCTAGAGCCCAGGGCCAGCACCTGTGCTGTGAATGAGGAGTTGGGGCTGGGCAGGGCCTCCCCCATGGTCCCCTCCCTCCTCCTCCAGCCCCACAACCCCCTAACTTACTTGGCAAGCTGGGTCCACGTCCCTGCAGCTTGCACCACTGCCTGCCAGGAAGCTTTTGCTCCCTTAACCTAAGAATTTTAAATGTTCTTTGCAAGGCAGAGCTCAACTAAGCCTTTGGCCTATCTCACTTCATTCTTGCATTCCTTGACCACTGAAAGATATTCTTTCTAATTGATCAAACCCATTTCCTATTACAAGCACTTCTAACATCTATGAACATCTATGACCCTAACAACATCTATGAGCATCTATGAATATTAGCATTTCACCCTGCAACAGCCCTTTCAATTCTGTATGAAAGAGGGTTTGCATAGAAAGAAAACCTATATAAATCACAGAGCAACATAAAAACACAAAAACCATTTGGACGGCCTTTCATGAAGTTCATGACTTAAGCATATTCTGATGAGCCTGGCATTGATCTTTCTAAGAGATTGGCTGGGAATAAAATAGCGGGATCATGGAGTTTTAGGTGTGATATTTAGGATCAACTGATCCAATCTACTACTGCAGCTGTCATTTCCTCAGCATGTTAAACTGAAACTACAACACAGCAATCCCACTAGATGGAATAAATCTGGCTGCATCCTGAATTGTCCAGCATCTTCTTTCTTCTCGTGGCAGTACTAGGGGAGCTTTACAAAAGAAAAAAAAAAAAAAGTGTGATACATCCATCAGAAACTACTCAAACTGCACCCCTTTTGTTTTGAGAACAGCTGATTCAGGAAGAATGTATCCATGTCGCAAACACAATACTAAAATGGACAAGTCACCCTGTTCAGGTCTGTAGCCAGTTCAGTCTCTGCAGCTTCTGAAAGCACTTTCAGTTGCACAAGGAGACAGTCTTCTGTAACGTTATACTGCTGTGCCAGTTTCTTGTTGATACCAAATAAGGTGACTAGAGAGTTTTTCTGCTGATACTGCCAGCTTGAGTACTCAAGTCTTACTGCTTTTCAAGACTTGACATTTAATTTCAGAAATAAAAACCTCAAGTTTATCTTTCAGTAGCTGATGCTGGGTATTTAAAATCATTCCAACTTCATTCAGCAATACAGGACATGCTCCATAACCGTTTCAAGCCACTCGATGTAAAGCCATAGAACATATGCACAGTTCTTATTCCATATTTTTTCCTTCCAAATCTGCACTTGAGGAAACACTTCCCTTTCTACATTTTTTCTAGGGTAATTTAAGGCTCTAAAAATGGAAAAAGTATGATAATACTGCTCAGGAGGCTCCGCAGTGCCCTCATAACAGTCCATATGAAATCTCTTACAGAGTTGAATTATTTAAATATTGAATTATTGAAAATCTCATGGTTATCTTATTCAGCAATCTATTATAACACTTCATTATTTCCAGTGTTTATTTGCCCTACACCTATATCAATCAAACACTGTTCAAAAAGCTGGAGTGATGTTTTGTGCAGGTTGTCCAGTTATTTTCTGTGGAATTTAGAATGCCCCATATTGATACACTGGTGGACTACATGGTGCAAAATTACACATGGCTCAATGTTTAGCTCGGGGTACTGATGATCTTTCCACAAGGATAATCGTAACTCCTCTGGGAAGCAGTAAAGCAGACAGAAGACTTACATGCAACAGATGTGACGCTGGTAGGCAGGTTCTGCTGAAATGGATGCTGGTCAGCTTCTGGCTCCTCTGATTCCGACAGGATATGGTGACCAGCATGGGAAAGGTACGTAACTTGAACCTGTTGTGCATGTGGGACCTTCAGTTTCTCCAAACAGTCAGAATCTCTACGGTCCTCTGACTGGATCCTGGGCCCAATTCTGTCTCTTCTCCATTGTATTAATGCTACTCTGTCACGTATTGACTTTGCAATTATCTTGAGATCGCTTTCATGAAAAAAGCCAGAGTCAATCTGCAGAGAAAACAAATAAACTTACTGAGTATTTCTAGAAACATGTATATGTTATAAAAAGTTACAGATTAAGAGAGAAAGGAAGTGTTTGTAATAACAGGAACTGCATTTTTCCTCTCACAGAAACAGGAGTCCGGGATGGGTTGAATCAAATTATTGCAGCAAACTTCTAGCAATCAATCCAATATTGCAGTGGTCATTCCCTTCCTCCCACCCAATTGCGAGATAGCATGGCAGTTATGGGGGGGGTTTTGAGGTCCCCACAACTTTTTTGTGGGGGGGAGGCAGGGGAGGAAAGAAGCAGGAGGAGGGGGAAAGATGCAAAATATCCCAAAGAAGAAATGCAAGCTGACACCATTTTCCACTGCACATGCTTAGGGAGTTGAAATATTTTGATGCGTTCCAAGCATATAAATTCTATTTATGGACAGATTTTTTTTTGGATACAGTATACAGCAAAACCTAATTATAAAAATGTTATGGTGAACATCAGAAGTTCAGGGGGAACCAATTAATTACTGAAGGGGCCAGGTCTCACAAACCTACAAAGCCTTGCACAGCAGTAAGTAATTTTGTCAAGAAATTCTTCTCTGCAAAGCCAGATGGGAGGAGATCTAAAAATCTGTCACAATAAATTAAAAGAAGAAGAGTTCTTCTTATCTTGCACCTTTATCCAAAAAAAAGATTTCTTTTGTTTTTCATAATGCCGTGACAGCTCTCAGAGCCACTCTTCATCTGTAACTCTGGGCTGTCAGCCCACTCATGCATATGCCTTATTTTTAGGCCTTTCCTTCTTTGCCCATGGGGATACTTTAAAACAGGTTTCCTCCTGAACTTCATGAATTTTGAAATTTCTTTATAACTATCACTAAACTTCATTCATCCAGGAGAACATTTACATTATCTTCTCCACAAGCATTTTACAGAAATACAAGATGGGAAACGTGAGGTTTTCGAGTTTTCTAAGGATTCTGAATGGCCAAAAAACCGATTTAGGTGAAAATATTCTTTGGAGGGGGGAAAAAAAAAAAAAAGGACTTAGAAGTAGACCTGCCAGTCAGGAATGATTAATTTTTTTCAGTAAAATGTTACCATTTCTACATACATTGGAGGAAGGCATGATGTTGTAAGGGTTCAGGTTTATGATCTTTTGAGAACTTCTGCCAAAATAAACCAAAACCCACTTGTCTCCTATGAGAAATTTGGCAGATGAAGGCCCTAACTTGCAAAACTTTCATTGCCAACTTCTTTCATTAATATTTAAACATGGTTATTAAAAATGGTAAACTGTACCACACAGCAGCTTGTACTAAGGGGAGCTGTGTCACAATATATTGCTTGAAATGCATTAGATTTACAAATCCAAGTTAACAGCAGGAAGCTACAGCAAGCCGATTTTCCGCAATTTATTTTGGGGGACACAGTTACAAGAGTTACAGTATCAAAATGGTTGCCTTCCCAAGGGAATAGAAGTGATGGTGATATGATCATTAAATAACGCCCCCTCCTGCTCCGTCCCATGGGAAACAACATACATTATTACCATAAAGCAAAGTCAGAGTTCAAGACCAGCTCATCGTGGTTTCATAAATCATTACAGAATAGCGTCTTACCTGCTTCTTTGAAGCTATTACAAAATGAAACAAATAGCTCAATCTTTTAATTGTTTCTATACTTTTGTCTAAGGGAAAGCGTTTGTTTTGGTTTTAAGATACTGTGGTGCCTATGACACTGTGCACTGTTAACTTAAGGTTATCATCTTTACACAATACACTAGCAGACAAACATGACCACTTCAAAAGTTTGACTATTTTCTGTCCAGTTGTCTCTAAAAGTCTGTCTACATGGTCTGCTGCACTGCAATAAAGAGATACCCAAAGTATCTCATTCAGAGCTACCTTGGGTACCAGATGCAGTCTAGTCATGGAAATACAGAATTTCATTCAAGCTAATTTGCTCTGTTAAGAACCACTGAACTGTGCCATGTAAACCTACCCTCAGAGACTGGCTGGTCTACTAACTGCAGATCATAAATGTTGGTTGTTTTTGTTGTTGTTTGTTTGTTTGTTTTTTTGCTTTCCACAGTTCTGTTTAACAGTAAATTGGTTGGACACAGGGGGGGGGGGGGGGGGGGGGGGGGTGGGGGGAAGGAATGACACGCAGCTGGCTGTGGAGCAGTGGCAGCGTAGGGTGGTGGAGGTGGCTACCGCGTAAGAGTCCCCCACCGTGTCCGGCTAGCCGGGCAGCCCCTGTGCAGCCTGCAGGAGCGTGCTACTGCCCTTGCCCCACCTCTGCTCCTGGGAGGCGGTGGCACAGGGTGGTGGGTGACAGCGCTCCATCCCTGCCTGCCCACCCAGCCGCGCGTACCCCCTCATGCCTTCCCAAGTATCCCCGGTTGACAACCCCCATTTTAAACTATATTTCTTGTTCTAATTCTTCCAGGCCAAGAATCTGAGCCTATCTTCAGCCACCCCAATCTAATAGATGAGAATAAACCAACAGAGACGCTTAATGGTTTCACTGGCCTGTCCCTAGTACAGGACAACAAGCTGTATATTTTTTACTTCTTTAATTTTCTTCTAGCACACATTTGAAAAACCTACCCTCATTCTTTTTTTAAAATAAATGTGTTGAACCTTTTAAATTAAATTTACTTTACCAGGTTTGCTCCTGCTGTCCTTTGAGATTTATGTACTAATTAAATATATTAAAAAAAATATATATATATATATTTTTGTCAGGAGAAGTTTATTTTACCATTTCTTGTGCAACATCATCAGGAGTTTCCTTCTCCAGATCAAAAGTAAACTCAATGGCTCCATTATCTTTTG